CGAGGCAAACACAAAGGGCTCCTTCTGCTTCTCCGGCCCCACCTGTTGCCACAGGATCGGGCTCAAATGGAGCAGGACCAGAAACCCTCCTCTGCCTCCCCAGCCTGCTGGCCACCCGCATTAACACAACTAAAAGGGAATTCTGGCCTGTGCACCCTTCAAAGGTGGGAGCCAAAGGCCAGTGAAATAGCATGGTGGATAAAGGTGCTTGCTGCCAAGTCTGGCAACCTGCTTGACTCCCAGGACCCACATAGTGAAAGAACTGATTTATCCCTTTCTCTACTCAGAACCTAGCACATGCGTAGAACATACCCCACAAGGGCCTGTCACATAGCAGGCACTCAGTGTAGTACTGAATAAAGTGGATCTCAGCATGCCTGATGCTCACTGAGACTTGATCCCCCTAACTCTCCACCTCTAAGGTAGCTAGGGGACTAGGGAAAACTTACAGGTCTACAGGTAAATAGCATTCCTCTATAGATGCTTTGAATGGGGGGGGCTGTGTGTATGTGGGGGGACTTGCCCTGTAAGTAGTGAGCAGCTACCCCCTGTTGGAGTTACATCAGAAAATGAGACCTGAGCTTAGCATGGTTTACTGGATATATGGCTGGTGAAGACCATAAGAGACCAGTCATGCCTGAATCCTTGAGGGAAAGGAAAGGTAGCCTCTCAGATGGTGAGGGAGGGGATGATGGGGCAAAGTAGATTTAGCTAAAACTCTACAGAGGCCTTTCTCTTGTATTATACAAGTTTGCATGTGAATATATGTAAGAAACGCTGTAGAGTGAGTAGAAGCGACTGCTTCGATTTTGTGTGTGATGTGTAGAGTGTGTGAACTGGGGAGTGTGTGTGAGTGGGAGGTTACTGTGTTGTGTGTGTGCTGTGATGGCAGTGCACATATGGTGTGTGGTATGCTTGTGTGGAGGCCCATGGGGGAAGGGAGATGGAGGGAGGCTCGGCCACACACTACTCCTGGAGTGCTTGCTGCAGTATCAGTCCACAGGCACACACAGCTATGCTATCTCTCCATTATACTTCTAGCTCCCCCTCAGGTCGGTAGACTCTTACCTGCAGCAGGTAGTGGATGACAGCGCCAATGGCCTCTTTCATGATGCTCACGAGCTGCACCTTCTGTGGTTCCTTAAGCAGGGATTGCTCACAGCGGGTACATTCCTGGATCCCCAACTCCATAAGGGCATAACAGGCAGTTACCACATCCTCTTTCACCTCTGTGCCTGTCTCCTCCAGGGCCAGTCGCACCTCCACACACGCCAGATTCACCAGTAGGGCCAGGAACTTGCTCCCAGAGCTGCCCACTGGGATCCAGTCGGAGCCGCAGGCATGAGCCAGGCGAGCTGCCAGTTTCAGTGCAGGGTTGCGCTGCCAGGAGCTCAACTTGCTTCCTAGGATGCGAGCCAGCCCAGCCTGCAGATCCCGGTGGCATTCAGGGGGCACAGTTGTTGGGGGCAGGAAAAGGGGCAGCAGCTGGCAGAGCTCAAACTTGCTGGCATCCTCAGCTTTCTGGAAATCCTCACTGAGGCCCCGCAACACAGCTAGCAGGTCGGGCTCCGCCTCCTTCCAGCACTGTGTCTCTGCAGCAGCCAGCAGCCCCACCAAGAGTGCCAAGGCCTGGTCAAAGCCATAGCTGTGCCCAAGGTATGCCTGGCAAAGGGCAGACACCGTGCCACCAGCAATGAGGTGCCGGGGCCCTCGGGGTGTGCCTGCTACAGCTGTCAGGCACTGGTAGGTGTCATCAATCATGGAGCGGCGGGCAGCATCATCAGGGTCCCCCCGGGCCGTAAGGAACGTGCTAAGGATGGGGATCTTGTTTAGGACCTGGGGATGACTGGCCAGTTCGGGGTCACTGCAGAAACAGGCCAGCAGGGCCACACCCAGGGCCCGGAGAACGTGGTCAGGACAGCCATCAGGTGCCTCCTTGGTGGTCAGGAGACGATTGGGGAAGGTGAAGCCGACAGCATCAAAAATTCGTCGCCGAGTTTTGGCATCGATGTCACCTGCTTTGACTGCCTTGGTCACCTATGGGGAGTATGTGCCATCAGCAGGATGAAAGGAAAAGGTGGCAAAGACTGTCCCTTCCCTGTACCCTGAACATCGAGGGCTGGCAGGAATGGGTTATGCAATGGGACTCACACTGGGGTCACTGCAGCCAGCTCTTTTTTTCTCCTTGGAGACAGCCAGGTGTGACCTCTGGGATCCCTCTTATCTATGATTGTCTCATGGAAGGGAGGTCCAGTCCTCCTCAAACATTCATTTGGACAGTTGATCACCTGGCCAGCTGAAAAGTTCTTTCTGTTGTCTAATCTAGATGCCCACAACCTGGGATGGAAGGGGCTTAGAACTCAGTGTTTAAAATCCCCTAAGGATTTAGGGTCCTTCCCTAACTACCTGTCTCCAGAGAAGTCACTGATCCATTTCCGCCACCTTCTCAGGGGAAATGGCTCCTGTGTCTTGCCTTTCTGTATGTCAAAACATTTCCCCTTACATTTCCCCTAAACACCTCCTCTGCTGCAGTGTGAGCCCTTGACTTCAGAGCCTTTTCCCTGTTGCCATGGCAAACAAGCTGAGGCTGCACTCCCTCCTCCCTTCGCACCCCCCACCCCCCAGCACTGCAGCGCCTGTTCTGCTGCCCCTAGCTTGGAGTCCTCCAACAGGCTGTGACTGAAACCAGCTTCCTTACCTTTAACCTGCCTATTGCCACCTTGGTCATCTCCACAGCCTCTTCCCAGTCACTTCCAATCCTGCTATTCTTTCAGGTCACAGAAAAGCCACCCCAACCCTCAAGTACTCTGCATTTGTTACAACCTGCTGCTGTTACCATATGAGTCAGCTCCCATCTGCTCTGGGACGCCCCAGAAAGCAAACTCAGGCAGCCTCCTCCACGGTCCCAGCCTTATTCACTCCTATTCTCCCCTTCCCCCCCATTCCCAAGGGAGCAAAGGGTACAAAGGTAGAGGTCTCAGGCCTTTTTGGTGCATTCAAGGTTGCCAGTACCATTTAGAGATCCTTGGGGACTTGCTGACCCCATTCTTTAGGGGCCCAACCACTCAGCCCTCCCACCTCCCAATTATCAGCCAGGTCCTTACTAGCAGCAGGGCTGCAAACTGCTCGCTGTCATTCTTGGCCTCACGGAGGGCTCCCAGGTAGCGCTCCAAGGTGGGGTTTCGGCTCTCTGCCTGGTTCAGAGCTGGCTCACAATCCGAGGCCATGATGCCCGCCTTGCCCAACTGTGAACACAAGAGGGACTGAGCATCCCTCTGCAGAGGAGGGGCGGGGGCGGGGGTGGGGCGGGGGTGGAAGTGGAGGATGGAGGGAGGGATTAGCACAGAGGGAGGGGAGGGAGGATTTGGAAGGGTGGCTTCCTTATGACTGACCTCCCTTAGGGGAGCCCCTTTAAGAGGCTGGACCTGCAAATCCTTTGGGATGAAGAAGGGACCCTGGTCCAAGGTCACCTCCAGAAAAGTGGGAAAAGGGGGTCATGCATGCTGCTGCTCTGCTGGCCAGGGCTCCTCACCAATCTCCTAGAAGTGGGAGGGGGCAGGCTTCAGCAGCCCCTGGCACCAGAGGCCAGGTTTTACCTCTCTCCAGGAGGGCATAAGGGGAGTGAGTGGTGAGGACAGACAAGGAGGAATGGAGACATACATAGGTGAAGTTCGATTATCCGGACTCAGGTGGACAAGTGAGAAAAAGGTTCTTTTCCCCTCTCCAGAAGAGGCAGGAGATTAGCTTCAGTGAGAGGACAAGCTCTCTAGAGAAGGTTTTGAAGACTTCTCTGAGGACCCCACCCCTCCAGCCGGGGCTCTTAATCGCCCCCGCAGCCTCCTTGCCTTCTCGCCTTTCCCTCCCTCGTGCAGAGGCTGCAGGAGCAGCAGCAGGAGCAGAAGCAGCAGAAGCAGCAGCAGCAGGAGCAGCAACAGCAGAATTAACCCGTTGTGCACCCTGTCCTCGCCCTGCCAGTCCCGATACCAGCCTGTGGGTACCGGTACTGGCTGGAGAAGGAAGAAGGGGTCGGGAAGCTCCCAGGATAACGGGGTATCCAAAAGCCGGATAATCGAAGCGGGGCTGCTGTGATTGAGAGATGAGAAGGGGAGAAAGGATCCTGGCGGTCACCACCTGTCCCGCCGCAGCCAGGTCACAACACGACATTGATGAAGTCGAACGACAGGGCAGCGATGAGATCACACTTCACGATGGCGCGGTGATGTCACGGAGAGATCACAGCAAAATCACGACATGGAGGGGGACAGCCCCCAAAATGATGGGGCAAATTTAACAATATGTATATATATATATCTATATATCTATATACTGAAAAGGGCTGTGACAAAATGGAGTCTCGACAGGGCACGATGATGTCGCGATATGGCGCGATGGAGTTGCGATAGGGTCCCTGGGGAGTCTCGGCATCGATCAGCGCCGGCTCGGAGAGGCTCCGGCTGGGAAGCAGGGGAGGGCCTGAAGGGGGCTGAGCTCACCAGGCTGCGGCCCCGAGCGGCGAAGTCTTCAGCAGGCGCGATGCTCCAAGAGCCTGGGGCCGCTGCTCACGCCGCTTTGCCCACTCTTGGCTCCCGGCTGGTGCAGCTCCACCCCCACCCCCGCATCATTCTCGACCAATCCGCGGTGGCCTCACTCCGAGCTCTGGCCAATGACACGGTAGGGCGCTAAGCCGTAGCGGAGTGAAGCCAGGGCGGCCATTTTGCTTGTGGGCACTGCCCGAGTCTGGGGCCAGAGGGCTAGTGCAAAGGCGGTAAGGTTCAGTCGGCCCCGCTAGGGCTCGAAGCGAAAGGCTGAGGGCCGGGACGCCCTGGCTTGTGCGTAGTTCTCCCCTCAGAGCGGTCCCGTCCCCGTGTGTCGTGTCTGCCCCCCCCCCCGCCCCGCGCGCGCGCGCGCGCGCTCTCTCGAGTCTGGAATTGCGCTTCCGGAGGGTGGGGGCGGGAGGGCTTGATTAGCATGAAGAGTGTATTTCCGGGTTGAGCCCCGGGAGGTGGGAGGAGGCGGTGTTTCCGGCCGCGGTCGCTGTCCAGGGAGGCTGAGGCAAGAGGGAGCTGTCCGGGTGGGGAGCCAACACTACCTTCTTTCTCTTCCTTCTCCTCCACGTGAGGGGAGAGAAGGTTGGGGGCCCCCGAGCCCATGGACCGGGAGGAAGCGGAGGCCGCCGAGAGCCGGCGCCCCGCTATGTGGCCCTGAGCCCCGGTAGGTGGCCGGGGCGGCTGGCTGCCGGGCTGAGGACCAGGAACTCTGGGGAGGGACAGGCGGGACCGGCCAGGCCTGGGGGGCGTTGGCCGCTGTTGGGACCCGGAGGTGGCGCTCCTGGCCCGGCCAGGGCAGGGCAGCTGCTTCTGGCCTTGCAGCTGCCGGAGCTCGAGTCCCGGGCTGAACCCCCGCTCCTTTGGGGCTCAGGCCTGGCCAGGCAGCTCTCTTCCATTCTCTGACAGACTGACGTACTGGGCTCCAGACGCTGCGGTCCTTCTGACACCCTCGACCCCTGCAGCCTCGCCCTTAGTTGCTGTCTCTGGTGGTTTGTCTCTGGTGGTTTGATCCCCTTACCGAGATTTAAAAAAAAAAAAAAAAGGTTGATACAGAATGAGAGGGGCGGGGTTGGGTACGTTGACGAAAGCTGCAGTGAGCAGCTGAACTGAAGGAAGTCAAAGTAGAAAACCTCAGGCGGGGTTCTGGGAATGCTTTCCTGTTCTCGCCTCAGTGGTGGTTGTGCCCAACCGACAATAGATGCCGTTAATGCAGCGCATTAGCCGACTCAACTCTCCTTGTGCTTTCTTATGATTAACAGACTGGAAACTAGAACAAATTGGAAAGACGGCCTCCCAGAACAATCTGTTCATTTTTCCAGCTATTTGGAAAACAGTGTCTGCAAATATAAGCAAAGCTATTCATGGCAGTCTGTTCTGTAACTTTCTCAAATATCTAAGACTTAAATTTTCTTTAAAGCTTTATTCTTGATTACTCACACCCGCTGAATAGACGTGCTCTGTCGTTATTCAAACATATCTTATCGCTGTGTACATAAATGGAGTTCCACGTATGTAGCTGACAGACTGAACTATGATACATCCCCCATCAACCTGAAGTATTAAGTAAACATTACCCCCTGCTCTGTCTGAACAGCTGCTGCAACAGAGTGCTTTTATTTCTGGTGTACTTGTAACGCCCTAAATGCCAGAACTATTGGGAGCTTTTCTAGATTTTCATTTGTCAAGTATTGTGGGGGTGTGTGTTCTCTCCCTAGGTTGTTACCCTTTGATTCGATAACAAACAATTTGGATCTTAGTGATGTTTTGTTGTTCCTGCCTCTGGTCATCAAGCCCTTAACTGGACCCTAGCAGTGATTTGTGCCCACAGGCAATTGCAGCTTTCAACAGAATAACTGGTTGGGAGTGCACATGAAATTAGCTCTGCCTCTCTTATGCACACTTTGTAAGACATTGCACTTCTAATCATCTTGCTAGTCCAATGGTGTTTATTACTCCTGTTTTCAAAGCCTATTCATTTCTTTTCTGCTTTTCCCACCCACCTGCCAGGCTGTTGATGACAGGTGTTGAGTCACCTTGAGTTTTAAATCCTTTTGTGGTAGGCTGAACTGTGTTGGGTAAGAACCACACACATACATTCACACACAGATACTCGATGTTCTATCCTGTTAGACTAGAGAAGTTTCTGGGTATACTTTTTAACTTGGGCTCTATTTCATAATCTTTTGAACATATTCATGATGTTTTTTTCTGTCCCCTGCTCCCTAACATACAATTAGAGAGCAACTCGAAATAGGGATGGTAGAAGAGAATAAGAAAGTTTAAGTCCTCCAGGTGCCTATGGTTCTGTGAAAGCCATTTCTTAGGCAGTGTCTCAGTTCAGAGTGGTGTGTGTGTTTCTCTGTTTCATGGCATTGGCATTGAAATCCAGTCTAGGCAATACTGGTCTCCCAATGCTGTGGAAGTGAAGGTTAAAGGCTGTTACCTTATGCTATTTGCAGATGACAAGTTCATGTTTAGGACATGATGATGATGATGATGATGATGATGATGATGATGATGGTGATTGTTTTGAGATAGGGTTTCCCTGTAGCCCCAGCTGGCCAGAATTCATTTAGGTAGACCAGGCTGGCCTTGATCTCACAGAGATCTGCCTGCCTCTCCCTTCTGAATGCTGGGATTAAAGGCATATGCCACCATACACAGCTGACAGAAGATGTTTAATATATTGTTTTTGAGATAGTGTCTTCTTATGTTGCCCAGGCTGGACTTGAACTCTTGGACTCAAGCAGTCCTGTCCTCAGCCTCCCAAGTAGCTAGAACTTCAGGTATGAGATATTCTACCTAGTCAACAGTTTTTTTAAATTGCTTTTTAAAATAACCTTGTCAACTCATAATGCCAAGATTTATACAAGAGGGAAGAAACTTTTGGAAAATCAGTGTTCTATCACCACCACCACCCTTACATCCTACAGCCACTAAGTTGCAGAGTAGCCAGCACTGTGCCTACCAGACATATTTGCTGAATGTACACATGAATTTATGTCAGGTATTGGAAATGACTGAGGAATTAGGAAGATAATGTAGAAGTGTAAACTGGGTAGATTTATAAGATAATGGTGTGGGACTGGTAGCAAACTGGACAATGCTTGCCGTTCCTAAAGAGAATCACATTGAACAATTATAGCAAGACTGGGCCCAACACTACCCTCAGGTTAGTTTAATTAGAGGAAATCCAACCTCTTCATAGATAAGAAAGTACTTTGGTCAAAGTCACAAGGCAGTAGAGGAATTGGAACTGAAAAATCAAAGCTGCTTCTTTTAGGTTGGTGCTCTTTCCATTCTGTCATGTAGATGATTTACTGTTAGGTTAGACAATGATGGAATATAAAATGTTTCACTTAACAGCAGATTCATTTTCTGTGTCTTGCTGTGTTGTTATACTGATAATTATAGGCTATGTCAAAGCTCAGATTTAAAATTTACTGGCAGGGATGAGTACTGAGAGACAGACACACTTGGAATTTCTCTTTCTCCTGATCTGTCACATTTTCTAGCATTCCACATTTCCAGGAATCAATTATTAATTACTTGGCATATAATTTCTTATTTCTAGTGTTCTGGTTCTGCCTGAAGGAAGGCCATGGAGAAGAGACTAGGAGTCAAGCCAACTCCTGCTTCCTGGATTTTAACAGGATATTGTTGGCAGACATCAGTGAAGCCGTTGAGAAGCCTGTACCTGCTTTACACTTGCTTTTGCTTCAGTGTTCTGTGGTTGTCAACAGGTACCATTTTTTTTCTAGAGATTTAAGATTTAATACCCCTCCCCCCATCAGCATTCTGAGTTCTTTGGTTCATTTTAGACACTAGAAGGAAGAAAGGCAATCTTCTAACTGACAGAAACTGTCATCGTTTTGGTGGGTGTTTACTTTGTTTGTTTTGGAATCAAGATATAAATTGGAATTTTTTTTCTCATAAGGGAGAATTGGTAGTCATTTTGAGGCTTTATAAAGAGAGATTGACAAGACGAAGCTTTCAGGGTGGGGTCCTGGTACTGGTCCTTTATGCTTAATAACTGAGGCTTCAGGCATTTTTCTTTCTTTTTTTTGGGGGGGGGGTCTCACTATATAGCCCAGGCTGGCTTTGACCTTGTGATCCTCTTACCTCAGCCTTCTGAGAGCTGAGATTAAAGGTGTTCATTACATCTGACTTCCTTGAAGAAGTATACGATCTACCTCAGACCTTGATTTGAGGGTTAATATAATAAAGTCAGGTGACCCAGCACTCTGAACATACCTGCTTAATGGAGGATACTTTGCTTCCTTTCCTAGCAGAAGCTACATTGTTGTTGTTGAGACAGATTCTCACTAAGTACACTGTGTATCTCTGGTTGGCCTAGAAATCATTGAGTAGACTAGACCGGTAGAACTCATGGAGATCTGCTTCCCCTGCCTCCTGAGTGCTGGGATTACAAGTGTGTGCCACCACATCTAGCAGAATCTACACTTTAAAATGTTTTATTTATTTATTATTGGGGGGGGCGGTGCACGTGTGTGTAATGGCATGTGTGTGGAGGTCAAAGGACAATTGTAGAGTTAATGTTCTCCTTCCAGCTTTATGTGGGTTCCAGAAATCAGAAAGGCTATGAAGCTTGCTACCAGCTGAGCTGTCTCTCGAGCTCTACTGTGTGTTTTGTTTTAAATAGAAAGGAGCTGTGCAGAGAGCTTTCGTGGAGTATACCTTCTTCTGCAAGACTGTTTGACCTCACTCGGAGCCTCTTGCCAGGGATGAATGCCAAGAAGGCCAAATTTCAAAGGCAGAATCTCAAAATATCCATTCTGTCTATTTCCTTTTAGCTCTTTTGTTGATACAGTTCCTTTCAAAGTATGGAGTTTGAGAAAACAGCCATTTGAGAAGACTTCTGAGTGAGCCCTCATTCTGGGCAACTACCAAAAGCCTTCTGTTGTAGAGACCACTAATAGGGCTAACTAATTGACTTTTGCTCTGACAATTAGAAGGATTTCTGTTGCTTTCCTAAAGCAATTGGTGGTTGTGATTTTGAAAGTCAAATAATTGCTGTTATTTAGCAATTTTAGTAGCATCAGCTTTGCAGTTTTTGGTCTTGCTGTGGTAGTAGATGATTGTGTGATTACAGTGGTGGAGGCCACAATTGATAGAAAGCTGACCTAAATATTTTTTTATACAAGATGATGCCTTGTTAACTAATTCTGGGTAACATTTCATGCAAGATAATCTGAATTAAGTAATTAATTGATTTGCTACCATCACATTAGGAAAATCACTTTTTGGAAGTATACCAACCACATATCAGGCTCCTAACTAGAAATGGTATATATGTTCCCATTTAATTTTTACAATAATGCTGAAACAGGTAGTTTTATGCTCATTTTATTGATAAGGAAGTTGGGACCCAGAGAGGCAAAGTTATTTGACAGGGGTCACAGAGCCAGAACATGGCAGAGCAGGATCCTAACCTAGTTTGTCCATTCTAAAGCTCATACTTTTTCCTTCTGCTGTGCTGCCTTCTGGTGATTTTTGTAAGACCAAAGATAATTTTTTTTTTTCACCTAGAACCATGATTAGACGCTGGCTATTTGAAAGATTTGGAGTACAAAGAGAGGAAAAAGCAATTCTGAATCTTTATTTTTCAATTGCACTTGGTTTAGACTAGCACTCTGGGCTCTTTGGGCAAACCCTTACTACCCCCTGAGCTCGGTACTTAAAGACAGCATTCTGCTGAACAGTAAGAGGTACAGATGTGAAGGTGGTTGTCAGGACTCGTGGTGGTAGGACTTAGATTGCACCAGTTCCATTTCAGTAAAAATATCTAGGGGCTTGGGGTATAGCTTTGGCAGTGGAACATTTGGCTAGTGTGTGTAAGGCCTAAGGTTCAACTCCAAACCATTAAAAAAAAAAAAAAAAAAATAGGGCTGGAAAAAAAAAACCCAGACAAACCGGAAAAGCTGTAAGAAAGGATTCTGAATGTTTTCATCATAAAGAAATGACAGAGGCTCGGGTGTTGCACAGAGATGGAGCAATTGCCTAGCATGCATAAAGCTGGGGTTCCATCCCCAACACCACAAAAAATTAATAAATGTTTGAGGAAATAGATGTATT